CCCACCTCGGAAGGATGGAAGGCTGAGTCAACCTTGAGCCGGCGATATTAGAACTGCTGAGCTGCAGATAGCAGTCAGCTGAAGTGGCCTGCAGTACTGCACCCTAACCACTGCGCCACCTCGGGCAGCTGGCATATTTATGTATGGCTAATCTCTCTGGAGGAACTCATGGTCTACATCTACCTGAAGACCTGGGTTTTTACGCATGTGCAGCCTTCCCATCCACATGTCAGTCAAAAGCATCTGGCTGCAAGTGTGTGCAATGAAGTCCCGATGCTTGGCTGCCACTGCGAGTTTCAGGCAAGTAGAGTTGCTCCAGTTCTTCAACTGATAGGTCAAGAGTTTCATGGCCACCTGCTCATCATGCTTGTAGGACTGGTCCAGCAGCTCCACAGCCAGCTGGCCAAAATCCCTGAATAAACCAAGAAAGTAGGATATCATCTCAACTCTTATTTTTTTCCAACAGTTTCCAGACCAGTGTTACTCAACATTGTCAATTTGAAGTTGTGTGGACTTCAACTCCCAGAATTCCACAAGCCGCCAACCTCACACAATCCAACCAACCAACCAACCAACCAACCAATCAACCAACCAACACTCAAGTACCATTTTTCAAAAGGGCCAGGAGGAGGAGATGGATTGTGTTGCTCCTTCTGAGGACATGGTTGATGTTGCCTACAAATCAATCCCTTTGACTCACTTGGAGTTGTTGTCCAGATCTTGAGAGATATCGTCCACAAGCTCGCTCTCCATACACTCATGGGCCATGGCTTTGTAGAGCTTACAGGCCACTAAAGCTTTGGCCATGGCTTCTTCTCCACGCTGCCACAAAAAGAGGGCCATTTTTTGTCTCTTCATCAAGACCGCCCAAACCATGAGCTCGTGGAACGGGTATTGGAAACGGCTGACTTCCGGATCATCCACATCGATGTCAATGTCTTCTTCCTTCTTCTTCTTCTTCTTTTTCTTCCCTTTGGTGGGAGGCTCATCATCCTAGAAAGAAGTAGCAGAGTTGAAATCACCTCCTGTTAGCCCCGGTCTTCTGCCATGATCTGCAAACCATCTGGGTAAATGGGTTCATTCATTCATTTATTAAATTCTTCACCTGCCTTTTATTACTTCATGCACTAAGAAAAAGGGCCATGCAGTTTCATCAGAGATCTCCAGAACAACGTGAGAAATGCTAGCATGCTGAGTCATTATGCTTGCATTGTATTCTAAAGACCAGGGAATATTCTTACACACGTGGCATGCAACTATTCGATGCAAATTCCCTACACATGGAAACAATTGAGTGCAATACTACAACTGAGTCGGTGGCTAATACGTCGACACGTTTCTTAGCCACTTGGTACCTTCAGGTGAGTTGATTTCCTCTCCCATGACGACTAGGCAGCATGGGTGCAATCTTGCAGGGGAATGCTGGTTGGGGAATTCTGGGAGTTGAAGTCCACCTATCTTAAAGTTGCTATGGTTGAGAAACGCTGCGTTAGATCAAAGCAACTGGGCCGGATAGAATTCTCCACTTCTGCCTGATTCCCTGAATGGATCTTCTTCCCTCTTTGCTAAAGCTTATTTGTAACCCCAAGATCAGTATTCGCAATGCTTTCACAGTTACTTGTGGACAGGAGCAGAGTGGGCACGGGGTTGGACTAGAGGACCTCCAAGGTCCCTTTCCAGTTTTATTCTGAACTAAGTCTGCCTCTCTCGGGGAATCTTGCTGGTTAAAATGGCCATCAAAAGTAAGATCTTTTTTTAAAAAAAATAAAACTTGAAATGCTTAATCTTTATTTTTTCCACCCCAGAGTTTCCACTCATATGCAAGAAGAACTTACCTCCATGCCTAGAAGTTTAAGAGCTTTAGCCTGCATGTTGAGGGAGAAAAGAGGAAGAAAAATGAGGTTTAAAGTCATAATTTTCCATAATTATTATGTGAAGCATATTTTGCAATAGATATAGGTATAGGTATAGGTATAGGTATAGGTATAGATAGATAGATAGATAGATAGATAGATAGATAGATAGATAGATAGATAGATAGATAGATAGATAG